TTGTGTTTTCTTCTATATATGAGTGAGGCTAAAGTTCCAAAGCAGAAGAGCACAGAGGTTAAACAATGCCATATTCTAAGAGGGGCCCCTGTGGATGGACAAATTGTCAGGAGGGCTACACCCAAGCACTTAAATGTCCCACAGCCCCAGCACTCACCATCAGCCCATGAGCAGAGAGATTTTGGGGAAACAGAAGCATTCACTTTGGTAGTGTTCTGGGACTTTTCTCTATTCTCCATAGGGAGGGAATCTGCCTGAAATCAAGTAGCTGAGCTTCCGGTAGCCCCTCTAGAACCCTTGCCTAGTGCAGACTAATCTTTATGTGGAGTGTCTGCATGAAGAGCGATCAACATCTCACTCCAGGAATGGAAGCTGGTGATTAGCAGAAACACAGATATTCACCTCAGTACAGTAAGGATTGGGTTGAGATTGACACCTTCCTTGGGAGTTTAAGGCCAGAGATGAACACAGATTGGGTTGAGATTGACACCCTCCTTTGGAGTTAGGGCCATACATGAATACAGACTGGTGTCGGCTTCTCCTCTCTGAATGTTGAAGGCAGGAGGCTTGATCAAGCAATATGGACAGTGTGGGAGGAAGGATACTGACCATGAGTTAGCTTTTGCTCCTAGTTTGGCATGGGGAAGTCATGTAGGACAAACTGAACAGAACAGTATGTGAGTTCTTCTGCCATTGTTTTATGCCAGACCCATCCTTTAGTCATTAAGAGTTTGTGGGCTGTATTCCAGGGCCTGGGATTCAAAGGGTGGGTAGAAAAGCCCTGCTAGAGCACAACTCCATATTAGGAAACTGTATGGGGCATAATTAGGGCACCCCTGAAGGGTGTAAAATCTGTGTATGGGTTGGAGGAGAGAACAAGTACTTGGTGCTGGTTTCTCTGAATGCATCAGGGATGCTGAGAAGACAATTACATTAGTTGAGTAGAAGACTGAGCCTTTCTTCATTACTCCTTGTTCAGCTGTATTGGTTTCCTCTTGTCATGACACTTTCTCTCAAACATAGTAGCTTAAAAAAGCACACATTTATTATTACAACCCCACATGGCAGGATGCTGATGTCCCTTACAGGATTGAAATCAAGGTGTTAGCAGAGTTGAATCTGCTTTTTGCTTTGTCCAGCTTCTAGAGACTTCCAGAATGGATCCTCCCTCCAGCTTTTGAAACCAGTGATACAGAGAGAATCCTCTTTATATCACATCTAATTCCTCTTTTGCCAGATCATCTCTCTCTAGCCAGACCTGGGACTGGTACTCCTTTCTTAAGGACTTTAGTGATTAAGTTGGACTCAACGAGATTATAAAAGCTAGTCTTCCAGTCTCAAAATCCTTTGTTTAATAATGCCTGCCGAGTTCTTTTTCATATAAGGAAACATATTCGCAGGTGCTGGAGGACAAGGACATTGTTGGGGTGGCCGTGATTCTGCTTATTTTAGTAACTCTGACTCTAGCGAAGCCAGGAACAGGGGTGGGGGAGGGCATAAAAGGAGTAAAAGAGCATCTTCAGCTGCTTTCAAGTCCCTTGGACCAGTTCTGTGCCGCAGCAGGGAAAACCTTTGAAGTGCATAGAAGATTCAAAGTTTTATTTAGATGGCAAGATTCTTCTTTTTAATCCCTGAAGGTGGATTTTAATTACAGAAGGAAGTTGTTTGCATATCCTTCAAAGTAACCAAAGCATGTGACTAGAGAAAAACAGCTATTTTCTATTGCTGCCTGTCCCTGTAGGGTATGTTCAAGTTGAGATATACAATTATAGTTTTGATCACATTATACTTGTGATCTAGCATCCTACTTTTCCACCACGAAGCCTCCCTTATGAAATTGTCTTAAGGAAAGATCAAGGGTAAAGACAAAGTTCTGGTCAAAAGATCTTTACAGCAACTTCAGTTCTTTCCTTCCTGTCTTCTTTTCCCTCATTTATGTTTCATTGTCCATCGTGACGATATAATTACCTTGCTCCTATCTCTTTTTAAATGTTTTATTATTTTTATTTTATGTGTATGTGTTTATTGCCTGCATGTATGTAAATGTACCGTATTGGGCAATACCCACAAAAGTCAGAAGAGGGCATTGGATTCCCTAGAACTAGACTTACGAATGGTTGCTAGGCACCATGTGGGCATTGGAAACTGAACCGGGGTCATCTGCAAGAACAGCCAAGTGCTCTTAACTGCTGAGCCATCTCTCCAGCCCCTCCTATCTCTTTTTAATATTCTATATTGTAGAAAAGCCAAATCATCTGCTTTCTTATGTCTGTACCATAAAAATCATACCACTTCTGGAGACATTCACACAATTTGAGTAGGTTAATCTTTATAAACCCTTGATCATCAAACTCAAGTCAGTCCTCAACAGTAGCCAATAGTCCTGTTGGATTTTTCTGGTCTGCTGGGTCCTCCTCAGAATGACTTTGAAAACTTTCACTCTCCTCAGACTTCAAGAAAATCTCTCTCTCTCTATCTCTCTCTCTCTCTCTCTCTCTCTCTCTCTCTCTCTCTCTCTCTCTCTCTCTCTCTGGTTGATCTCTCAAATTCTGCTTTGAGTCTGACCAGGCACCATTCACAATAGCTTTTCTTTGTATAGTCAACTCCCCCCGTCCACAAATGAATGGTCCTTTCCATTTCTATTTCTATTCTTTTGGGCACATTGGAGTTCTTCATTGTCATAAGCTCAGTAATGTTCCCCCAAAGATACTCGTGTCCCCCTGGGAACCTGTGAATGTTACCTTACATGGTGAAAGGAATTCAGTATATAAAACTGAATTAAGAATCATAAAATGAGATTATCCTTATTCATCCAAGTGGGCTAAATTTATCACCTCACTCTGGTGCCCCCAGATGCAGTCTGTGTGTCAGCAATGTCAAGACTAATGTCCAGAAAGCCACTTTACTAGGACTGTGCCTGCTTTATGTGGCTGTTCGAATGTTACAGATGTTACAGGAGGCTTTTCTTTTTAAAATTTTATTGTTTTTGAGTGTTTCATACATGAATATTGTCTTTGCATTATTTCTACCCCTCCCAGTCCTCCACCAACACTTCCCATGTCCCCTGACTCCCTCAATTTCCTGTCCTCTTCTTTGATTATTAATGTTACATTATATATGTACACACACACACACATATATATATATATATATATATATAAATGCACTGAGTCCATTTAGTGGTGCTTGTGTATACCTGTGTTTAGGATTGTCCATTTGGGATTATATAACCTCTAAGGGAGCTAGTCCCTACAGAAACCTGATTCTCCCTCCTCAGCATCCATTGATTGCATGTAGCTCATCATCTTGAGGTGGGACCCCTTGATGTTCCCCCAATCCACCTTGACATTATGTGGTTCTGTCATTATGCAGGCCTTGTTAGACTACCACACTGTGGAGATGTCATAGGTGCAGTTCCCCACCACGTCTAGAATGCACTAAGTAGCAGCAGGTGTCTTGTTCTTCTGGCGCTCACATTCTTTCTGCCCGGGAGGCTTTTCTTTCATGCAATGTCTGCATTTCTAAACATGAGATAGAGAACAGATGTGCCACAGAGTCTCAGGAGGTATATTTGGTCTTCTATGACCATGCACAGCATGGAATCCTATGAGCTAGTACAGGCACTGCCTTGGTGGAGCACGCTGCCTCCCTGAATCCGCTCCTCTCCTGTGTGCAGAGCTTTGCTAAAATGGCTGTGCATTCCAGGGTGCATGCTGACCCAGCATTCTTCATGTCCTTCCAGCTGGCTTTAGATGTATAAGTTGAATTGTGTGAGCAGGGTAAGAAGAGGAAAGTGACTGGGTTGACTGAGCTGGGGAACTGGGAGCCTGGCAGTCATGATTTAGGCTGCATGAGTTGAGTACAAGAACTGCATGTAAGAAGTGGTTGAGAAAAACAAAAGCCACACTGAATAACTCCGGACTTGATTTTCTTGGCAATGAGGAATGAGAGACAGTGATGTGCGGGCACAGCCTGTGAGAGTATACCGAAGAACAGGCAGGAACGAAGAAGCATTTTCTGCTTCCTACTGATGCTGGCTGGACTGTATTTTCTCAGAAAATAACAGACATATGATTTCTGCATCTGTGTATGCACAGGTGCTCTGTTGAGGGTGAAGTCTCATGTGATCCTAAGATACACCTTCTTTTGCTGTTCTTAATTTTTGATATTGATGAAGATGATACATGTTTTAATAAACCCTTTAACAGGAAGTAGAAATATCATGCACGAGGAACTACCTCCAGTACATTTAGCCTTAGAGATCACAAATTCAAAAGGTTCTTTGATGGGAAGTATATACCAAAACAATTATCAGAACAATTATTATTGGTTTTGTTCCCCAACCCAATATATCCTGGCTGGAATGCCTTATACATATTTACATGCAGCTGGAAAACAAGATGCTATTTAAAGATATCCTCACACATCTGGACACTAACAGTATAGATGTAAGAGGGAGCTAAATTCCTAATGAACACCTTCCTTAGCAGCTTATGGTTGATAATCCATAGCCAAAAAGTATGCATGTGATGTTAAAACACTGTTCTCTGTATCATGTTGGATTTAGATATGCTAAATAAGAAACATTAACATAGTGTCCTTCCGATAAGCCAATATGCAGTCTGTTGGGCTTATAATTTAAAAGATAACATTTGTGAATAGGAGTTAGTATTATTTTACATCTTTCTTTTCTTAGAAGACCTTTAGAACCAACCAAGGGAGAAAAGATTCCTTAGTGAAGGCATCTTAGTAGAAGAGGTCAAATAGCAATATGACAAATATATGGAATGAAAAGTTTCAATTTTAGAGATTTTTATCTGAGATTTCTATTTTAAAAACCTAAGACTGGCCAGTCTACCAGATGAGACACTAGTATTTATGAGTAAAATATAAAGAGCACTATACATCATTATTAGAGTATAGCAAACTTTCAGCATCACACATCTGTAATATATTTAGAGTCCATCAGAAAAGAATGCAAATACTTAGACAAACCTTACCTTTTCACCAGAGTTGTCTTTAGCTGTTGGAATTTGCCAGGTGATGTTAGCGGAGTCTTGCTGTTCCTGAGTCTTAGCCTCGATGTCCTTAGGACAATCGATTTGCGGAGCCTCCACATCTGACCCAGAAAGTACAGAAATCAATTAACATCTTGATATGTAGTTCTAAGTTATTCAAAAAAAGAGGCAAACATTTTGTCACATTAATATTTGTAATTGTTTAATATGTTGATTACTAATGGATTTGGAGTATGTAACTGCCTTCTATAATTTATCTTAGCGTGGCTTGTGAGGCCTTTCCCAGATAGGCACTTTCTGAACCTTAGTCTGTTTTTACAGCCCACTGTTAGAACTTATTCTCCACACTGAACTGCTGTCAGGGGCATGAAAGCTCTGTGGCCCCTCCTTTACTTGGGCCTTTGCCCAGGTTCTCTTGTTTGCCTGACTTAATGCCTTCTTCCCCTTCTACCTCCTTAACAACTGCTGTCCTTTAATCCTGAACCCAGAAAGCCTTCTCTGACTGTCCTGGACTATGTGCAGTACTCTCTCCTCACCTTCCCACAACCTCTATCCTCCCCAACCATAAAATTCAACATGCCATTTTGAAATAAGAATTTTCTCTCCCAACAAAATTGAAGTTCTTTCAAGGTCAGAATATCTCTTATCCCATTGTTTTATTTGGTGCCTGCTTACAAAAGCTTGGTAAATATTTTGATTTTTTTTTAACCAGACAGAGAAATAAACAGAAGAAAATGAACACTGATGGTGGCAGAAGTTACACGCGAAAATGAGGCTGTCAACGGAATTAATTAGCATTCCTAGAATGTACTGTCACAATAAGCAACCAATTATAGCTAATGATACTTTTTGCAGTGGAGAAGCTACAAATACTGAATTAAGTGTGCTAGTGTTATGTAGATCCACACAGTAACCTTAAGGTTTCGTTATGGATTATAATACATTCTTTATTTTCAACAGTGTTAAATGAGATCTTCTGTAATTCACAGCTGGGTATAGCTGAATTGACTACATTGTGTCTCATATCTTATCTAAAAATTTTATTCAATTTATGTTTTCTTGTTCTTGGAGGCGCTTATCCCCAGACAATTTTACCCCACAAAGGGACATAGAAACATACCGACTCTGATAATCTAAAAAAAGTATTGCTTTTCATTCCCAGGTCACTAACAGTTTGGTTGGATTTGAAATTCATTTGCATTTATTTTCTTTCCATCTCCTGAGACATGACTGCATTTCCTCTGCCATTAGCATTGTAAGTAAGAAGTGTGATGTGAATCCATTCTTGTGGTTTTGGGTGTAATTTCTCCTAATCTCTGGAAGCTTGATTTCCTCATTAACTTTGCTTCTCAGAAATTTTACTAGGAGTGGTGAAGTTTGTCAGCCCAGGGCCCAAGGGTTACTGTTGGGCTAATGCTTCAAGTCTTTCAGGGAAATTTCCTTCTACAGTAGAAAGAAAGAAAACAACCTTCTCCTCCACCCCCTTTCTTCTCTGCTTCTGTTACATGGCATTGGGCTTCCTTGCTCTGCCATTAATATTTCCTTATTTTTGAAAATTTATCTTTTTAACGTGTATGAGTGTTTATCTGCATGTATGTATGTGCACCATGTATGTGCCTGGTGCCCTCAGAGGACAGAAGACAGTGTCAGATCCCTTAAAGCTAGAATTGTAGATACTTGTGAGCCACCATGTGAGTGCTAGGAACCAAACCCAGTTCTTTACAAGAGCAGCAACTGCTCTTAACCTCTGAGTCATCTCTCTAGTCCCAACTCCTAACTTCTATCTTTTTGGGATAATTGATTGGATTGAGATATTTGAGTTTCTTGCTTATTACTTCTCTATTCTAGAGGAATTCAGTTTGGTACCTCAAACCAATAATGTTTTCAACAACATCCACTCCATTTCTTATTTTTATATTTTCCCTCTCTTCTTGACAATATTTATAACATTTTTCCTTTTGAGGACTCCTGTGCTTAATTCTTTTCACAATGGCCTGTTCATGCTTCTGGGTAAATGACAGTGTCCACCTATGAATATAATAGCGCCCAGGTTTCGAAGTGCTATTATACCCTTAGATAAGTTTGGTCTCATCTAATTTATAAGGACCATAAATTCCTCAAGGATTTTCATCTCCTGATGGGAAACTTAGTTGATTTCCAGCAATAGCAACATCTGTCATTGCCTGGCACCGCGATTTTTATAATTTCACCATCTTGAAACAGAAATCCTTTTGATTCATATTGGGCTAGCACCTGCCATTTTGTCATGGGCTTGCAGCAAACTCTGTAAAGTGGGGTGGTCCTATCACACACTCATATGCTATAACCCTATTATAGCACACTCATAATCTAGGAATTCAGCTTTTCACCTGTCTAGTGTAGGTACCTACCTTTGCACACAGCTGTCTGAACCTTCACACTCCATTTCCCGGATGTGGCACATCTCACTTCTCTGACCCCAGATAAAATGAAGCCTTGGCGGCAGCTTAGCTGACAAATCATTCCGGGTTTGGCGGGCTGCTTGCCACAATTAGGGGGAGATATGATGACTCCTTTGGGCTTCTGAAAGGTGGAGCACTGGCGCTCTGTTTTAGGGAAATGAGAGACTGTTATTTGTATCCCCATAAATTAGAAATGACATAGATTCTTTTTACCCCAGAAAATGCAACTGTGCTTGTTACCTTGAGACTGACTCTTAAATACCTGGTGAGACTGAACACATGATGGATTATAAAAAGTGTTCAACTACCTCTGGTTATTTCTTGTTTTATTTGCTTGTGTTTTGTTTTATTTATGAGACAGGGTCTCATGGATCCCAAGCTGGCCTTGAACTTGCCATATACCTGAATTTGACCTTGACCTTCTGGTCCTCCTCTTTCAGCCTCCTGAGTTCTGGGATTACAGGCATGAACTGTAACACCTGGTTTTATTTGTGCTGGGGAATCAAACACCAGGTTTCCTCCATGTTAGGCCAGCACTCTACAAGCTGAACTATATCCCCAGGCCACCTCTTGTTATTTTGCCAATTATCAAAGCCTTGGGAAAAAAAAATCTCTGAGATTCTGCTGGTTGTGACAGCAGATTTTATCATCTGCTTAAATAAACTTCATCTGCTTTCAGGATATTTTATGCTTTGAAGGATAAATTAGACTCTTTCATGGATAAAGTGACAAATTCAGCAATCAATTTTATTAGCTCTTTGGTTCTCTCTTTAAGTGAGCACATAAAAGGAACATATAGTTAACATGTGTGAATGAACATTCTGTTGTCATGACTTGATTTCTTTCCAAGTTCTGTGCCAGTAAAAACCATTGTCTCTAAGAAATCGGATTATCTCTACTTTTTCACAGAGCGTGTGTGTCTACTAAGACTTCCTGTTCTACTTTGAGCAGAAGGAAAACCATCACAAAATTTGTGGTTCAGATAGAATTACTATGCAGGATCCAGTATTCCTTCCTTAGGGTTGACTCTGAAGTAATACAAAGACAGACAATTACCTTTTGGTTCTGAGAGTTGTTGAAAATGTTTTCTTTTTGTCTTACTTGTTCATGTGCTTAAGTGAATGTTATCTTTTAATTTTTATTCAATCTAATATGCTGACTTAAAATGCATCTATTTGCTTTTATGTTTAATAAATTCTGAGACTGGTTAGTGTCTACTCACACATATTAACCCTATTTTCCTCTAAATTTTAGTGATTATATATTTACTTTGTTTTTTAAAATCTATGAAGAATTTTTTTCACTGTGTGATTGTGAACTCTAGACATAAATTAAGAAATTGTAATTCCCTAGAAATTACAGACAACATGAACAGTTTTCAATGTATAAGTACAGATCCCCATGGCATCTTATTTTTAGAGTCTCTTGGCCTTCTGGAAGGTTTGTTATAGCTTCTTAGGACAATTCTTTTTATTTATTTTTTGTTTTGCATTTTCTTACCTACATTTTCAATTCTATTTTACTACTTCATTCTAAAGATTTCCCTCTATACAATTCTACGGAATCTCCCTTAAAAAAACAGCTAGGTCACTATGGTTTTTTAAAAATTATTTTTGAGATTTTTCTGTGTATGAGTGTTTTACCTGCATGTATGTAAGTACACTTGTGCATGCAATGTCTGAGGAGGCCAAGAGGACATTGAATTCCTTTGAATGGGAGCTAAAGAACAAGTGTTTAGCTCTAGGTCTTTGCAAAATACTGGAGATGTGAGAGAACAGAGCAATGAACTTCCCTAACTTCACACCAAGGGGGCACTTACCTACACATCGGGGTTCTGCACTGTCCCACTGGGAGTTTCCTTGACAGGTAAGCTTAGCACTTCCTTCTAGTCTGTACCCTTCATTACAGGTAACCAGACACACGGTATTGTAAGACATTTCCACAGTAGAACAGCTGATGCGGCCATATTTGGGCTGGCGGAGGTGGGGACATGTTCTCACTATAGAAAACATGAAGGATTATATTTTACTAAATACAGGCAAAAGTGAAGACTGTTACTTTAATAATGTCTTTCTGTTATAAGCAAGAAAATTTTCAGTTCTTCAAGTAGGAAGAGATAAAAGCACATTCTCATTCTTCGAACTGCCGTAGAGTCCTTATCAAACGCATTGCCTAAACAATGCTGCCATATGTGGTTTGTTGTCCATGGGTGAGAAACAAAACCTCAAAGGGGTTTGGCCCTAAACAGATGATGACAGCTGTAGATTGGGGCAACTCCCAAAGAAAGGTACCTTCAGCCCTCCTCTGGGACTTTGTTGTGGTTTCCCAGGCTATTTACAACAGAAGGAAGAGTTTTTCTTTTCCCAGGATAAAAGTCTCACATTCGTGATAGGCTCATTTCCCAGCTCCCAGAGCTACATCCTGGATTTTTAAATGGTCTCTGCAAGGCTATCCAACTTCTGAATCTTAAATGCTGATATTCCAATGTTGGATCTTAAGCCTTTTATCTCCTTTTTTCTCACACACCTACTGCAAAACCTCGTTCGCTCATCATGCTAATCTTGATTAATATATTAATATAGTCTGTTTCTGGATGCTGGGGCTGAGATTGTGAATTGCCTACCCTAGCCACTTTTACCAAGTCTACTCAACCTAATAATGTGTCCAGCCAGGAGAATACAACTCCTCAACCTCACTGCAGTTTAGGAGAGCCAGAGATAAAGCTTAAGTTGTGGAGGACCTCTGGAAAGGCATTTTAAAGGGGATTTCCTAATCGATGGGGTGCTTTTTGCCATCTCCCTTTCCTTTCTAAAAAATTTCTTCCAAAATAATGTCAGGAGAGAGATTATGACATCATAGTATTTTATGTTTACACAGTTTTATAGGAAAAGCATTAGGCACTAATAATAGTGTAGAAATACTCTCTGATAACAATGGGGTCAGTTTTGGATTACCCATGTTGTCTTTCTTTTAGGGGGTGGGAAACCTTGAACTGATGTCAGGGATTGTTATCTGAGTCTTTGATACCAGGAGCTATACACAAGTCTAACTCTTTCTGCCAGCACCCATTTATTTCCTTTGCTAATTTTCTAGGGAAAGATTTTTCTGTCTTTCAGCTCACAGGGTTTGTGATGTTCCAGCTCTGCTCAGGAATTGAGTACATGACCTAGGATCACATCTGCCTTTTCTAATACATGAGCAGATGAACCTGGTGATATGGTCTCTTTCTTGACCCTTTCTGAATCCACCATGAGATAGTAGCCAGAAGGGTTTTTCTTTAAACCCCGAATGCTGGAAATGTCCCCATTCTCAGCCAACCTCAACAACACCACCATCAGGAGAAGTTCCATGGGAGTGTCTGGAGAAGCCTGCACTGTCTAGTTCTGCCACCTGACTTTCTAGCTTTAGAACCACATCAGAGAAGCTCTAGGAAGGCACCTGCCCTACTCCTGTCTGTGCCTGTTTACAAATAACATCTGTGCTCTGTTCTCCTGGGAAGGTTCCTTCTTCACAGCCCAATAAAACCCAAAGCAAGCCTGAGAACCCATTTCAAGTAATTTCATCACAATCTGTATTCCTGTTCATGACAATCTCTTCAGAAGCCTGAGCCTCCAAGATCATCCCCATACAGTGGTGATGCGAATCTGACTCTACAGACTCTTGGGCTTGCCCCCTTGTAGAATAGAGATTGTCCTAATATTTTTAAAAATATTTTATTTATTATTTTTATTTTATGTGTATTCGTGTATTGCCTGCATGTAGGTAAGTACACTTGTGTCATGCAATGCTCATGGAGGTCAGAAGAGGCTGTCAGGTCCCCTGGAACTAGAGTTATGGACAGTTGTTAGCTGCCATGTGGGTGCTGGGAATTGAACCCGGGTCTTCTGCAAGAACAACCAGTGTTCTTAACCACTGAGCCATCTCTCCAACCCCTGTCCTGATATTAAAAAAAAATCACAACTCCAAGCAGGTTGTATCTATAATTAAATTTGTCCTTATTTTGTCTTTTGATAGGAAGGTGGGAAAAATAAAAAAGATGGAAGGAAAGAGAAGTGGGACGCTGTCCCTTCTGGTGCCAAGCTCGTTACTATCATGAACACACTGGAAGGAAAGAGAATGGACAGTTGCTGACTATGCTGACAGAAAGACACCTGTTTTCATTTTGATAGCTGATAGGTATCTGATACTGGACAAAGAACAAACAGAAACCCCACAGGAGAGGGACGTTCAGCTTGATTGCAGTCAGCACTGCAATAACGATGGTCAGAAGGCGGTATTGCGATCTCTGCAGAATTTTCAACAAGGTGTTTGGAACTCAAAAATATTGTTGGGAGTCTGGGTACAATTTTATGCATTTGCAAGTTTTTATAGCTTATGTTGAAAACTAAAATTTAAAAGACTAAAAAAAGGAAATATATATGAAATATTCAAGTGCATATTCCATTGAAGTCACTGAATTTATTCTGTAGGAACCCATTCAAATTATGTCAGTTGACAGAGCATAAATATTAAGTGAATTAAATGTAAATTTTAGATTTGTTACTCCATAGAGGAAATTCAATAATTAAATCAGAGGTTAAACTATGAAGCTCTGGCCTCTCCTATCCCTGGGACGATTTGGACTAAAGTCACTATTAATAAGATAGTTGTCAAAATACTTTTCCTTCCACATAAGAATATTATTGAATGAATCCATCTTATGTAGTAGGATGTCAAGTATCAAGTTTCTTAAAAGGTAAGATAAATTTCTGTGACCAAGATGTAGAAGTGGAAAATCATATTCTGTAATTGCTTTTAGCTTCAGTAAAAAAGAAGGGGGGGAATCATAACTTTCAAAACCTAAGACAAAATGAATTTGTAATATTTCTCAAGGGTATTGATGGTAAATTGGAGATGGTGTTGCAGACAGATACAAAATGTATTGCTTTCCAAATGTTGGTTTCAATAAACATTCATTGCTCCTTAGGGAAAATAAAGCCAAAGTAGTGATTTCTATTTACTTATTAAATTTTATACTCTTCTTCACTCAAGAATGGGTATTTATTACCATTTTTCATAGGTACCCATTTATTTATTAGACTCATTTTTTTTTACTTCAATAGTTGAATTTTTTTTTTACTTTAAAAAGCGGCAATATATGTTTCTCAATTTACCTTTGTTTTGAAATAATTCCTGTATAGTCATTTCAGAAAACAGCAACTTACTCTAATTGGATCATCTCATACTGAATCTTTGTACTCTATAACGTGCACAATTATTATGTATAGTTACTTACATGTCAGTTAAAGCTTAGACAAATGATTAAACTTGTAAACAAACATAGGACCTTGGTCTTTTAAAAACGAATAACTAATCTATCACATATTCTAGACAACGACAGACCTATGAGCTAGCCAGCCATCTCATGCTAAGGATGAGCCAGTTTTCTCTTCGACATACATTTCTTGTCAATCCCCAAATTGCGATGATGTCTCTTACTGAAAAAAACCCTGATGTTAAATACAGGCTTCTTGCTGTTGAAAACTTTTTCTCACGAAAATAAAATAGCATCACAAAATTTCCTTTACTAGCTATCACAGAGACACTGAGTCCCTGTGTGGTTAAGAAAGGAACACATAGTTCAGATAAAATTAAAATGCCAGTGAGTGTGTTAGGAAGAGAAGCGCTTTCCTAAGAACAAAGCCTACGGAATAATCACTCATTCTCAGAAAACATTTTCAGCATGAAACACGTGAAAGGCTGGCAATCTAGGATCTAATTTTCACTCATTTTTCCTTCCTGACTCAATCTTTGGAAAGATTTTTGTGAAAAGTATGACACAATTAAAATTACTCACTGTCCTTTAAATTACACCCATAATATACAGCTTTCTATCCTACCTTTCCGGAAACAGAAGTCAAACCTGCCCATTGAAACATTTCAGAGTCTCAGCTACTCCTGTTGCAAGATACACCATTATTTTATGAGTCGTTACTAAAACAACAATTGTACCAATGGAACTATGTATGGCCACAAATTTTAAGGTGCATTCCAATTTTAGAAACATAAAAATAAGAAAAAGTTTCAGATTTGATGAAATATAGTATGTAAATCTATTAACCATTATGATATGGTGAGATTTGATGAAATATAGTATGCAAATTTATTAACCATTATGATATGGTGAGATTTGATGAAATATAGTATGCAAGTCTATTAACCATTATGATATGGTGAGGGAAGGAGCTGAGTATCTTCATTCAAAACAACTCTACTTAATGGTGAGCTAGGCGGTAGATTTTAGGAAGCACCATAGTCCTGTTGACTCTTTCTTACTATGATTAAAATTATTATAACTACATTAGAATAGCAACTTAAATGAGGCATACTTTTAATTTTTAATAGGGAGTAATGCATTCGGGCTTCTGTATATGTTTATAGATGTACATAAATATATATTTTTCTCACTATGCATCTTTGTTAAATTGAAATTTTCATTCACCAGAGGTATAACTAGGGATTGAGGGGATAAAAAAATGCATTCTTTGTTCATATTCACAGACTAGCAGAGGTAATAAACAAGTTAATCAACAACAAAATAACTGTGGTACTTTGCATTGTAACAAGTATGTTAGTTAGCTGGGAAATGTTTGTCAGAATTTCCTATTGTGGTCCGAGGTTAGACTTGGTTAAAAGAGGGACCTGTACTTGCTTGTAGAAAGCAGAAGTGAAACAGCGGCCACTGTAGTCAAAATCAGTGACAGACAAATGCACCAAGACCCAGCCCCTTCCAGCCCTGTTTGATTGCCTCCACATCCCCAGTGATAATCATGCTGATCAATGGTGGCCTGTGTTCATTGCCAGCTCTAGAGCCACAGGGGTATGGCTACACAGGGTTCGAGGTTATTTTAGACTCTTTAGAATGTGTCTGAGTCTATCTATCTAATGGTTTCCACCTGTAGAATTAGACAGGGTTGAGTTCTTGGATTGAGTCATGAAAAACTCCTTGACACTTCAACTTCTCTTTTGGGCATTCTCTCTGCAGTCTTCTTCCAAAATTGCCTAGGGTGTGGTCCCTGGAATAAATCCTCCCTAAGTGACCAATGACACAGAATAAGGGCTTGAATAAGGGAAGACAGGTCTGCAGTAAATGCTCCAGGCAGAGGAGGTTGGAAACAGAGGAGGGCTCATGAGGACCAAGATCAAAAGAATGGGGCAAAGCTTGCAAATGGACAGGTTTTAGACAGGTACTGCCATTTTTATGACTTTAGTGTAGGACAGAAGTTTGGGCTTAGATTATGGAGGGTAGAGAGTCAGGGGAAGGACCTTTCTCTGAAGGGACAATCTACCTCTCTTTTCTCCTTTGAAAAGCCACATGGTAGGAAGTTAAAAACATAGTGTTCTTCAGGATCCACCATTTGGAAGAAAAGTAGACACTTCACACAGAGCTGATAACTGTTAGCAACTGTTGACTTCACAGTAATATAGTTTAGAGGTTATCAGATAATTATTTTAGTAAGGATGTTTGAGTATTTAACACCTGATTCTGCTTGACAGAAAATGTCTTTTTGCCTTCACACATAAACAGTAGCTTGCCTGAGACTGGAAATCTAGGATCTAATTCTTTCCCCCTCAGAATCCTAGAAATATTTTCTTCAAACATTTTGAATGTTTAATAAACAGTCTAAGGCTGGTCAGATCTTCATTCCTTGGAGGTAATGTTATTTGTAACTATGAGGCCTATGTTATTTTCTATTTTCCCGAGTCATTCAGAAAGGTCACTTAGATTATTTCCAGACATGGATCTGTTTTTAATATTTGTTTTCTGGCATTCACTAAGTGACTTTAAACTGAATACAAAGGTTTCAGTGCATATTTATTTTCAAGATTTCACTTTAGGGATGTATTCTTTGATCTGCTGCTGCTGTTCCTCAGCTCCCGTCTCCCTCTGAATTCTGGGAGGAATATTTCCTGTGCCTATTCTTCTCTTAGTTTTCCAGATTCTGTTATCTTAGAAAATTTTCTCTACTTCCAGGGAGATTTCTCAAGTTGTATTTTCTTTTTTTTGGCTCAAGTTGTATTTTCAATTTATTAGTTTGCTTTTAACTATGCTTTTATTGTGCAAATAATTTGTTTCTCTCCCCCTTTTCACTCCGAGAAATCTTTTTACTTACTCTTAGATTTCTCTCTTTTTTTTCCTTCTCAGGACATTTTTGTTCAATCTGTTCATTCTGGTTTCTCCTTGACACTTTTTAGGAATAAATGGTCAAGTCTCGATTTAGGCAATTTCTTATTTACAGGTAGTTTCCGCTTGAGTGGCTAATGAACACGAATACCGAATGCCTCTAGGGTTTTGTAAATGATCTTGGACTGGTGAGTCGATGAGCTTCCGTTATGGTTATAGGAGCACAAGGGAGCTCAGAAGACAGCATTCCTTACCCAATGATCAGGGTGAATGATGGAGACTTGGAGGAGACATGCCCTCAGCAAAGACTATTGCCTGTGAGACTCAGAGAGAGTAAGGCTGCCAGATTTAGTAATGAACAAATCAATATGCCCCCACTCCAGTATATCCAACCAAATTTGAATTTCAGAAAAACAAACATTTCCTTATACCTAAATCTCCAATCCTGTACACTTTACTTAGGACCTTCATGGGCTGGGCTGCTAGTGGAGGACCTCAAATCCTTGGTTTGCTCTTAGCTTTTCTTAGAGAGCCTCCCCTCCTGTCCTAGTTTGTTCCTCATTGCTGTGACAAAATACTCTGACCACTACCAACTTGGGGAGGAAAGGGTTTATTTAGCTTACATATCCCAGGTTCATCAGGGAGCCCAAGGCACGAACTCAGGGCAGGAACCTGGAGGCAGGAGCTGGAGCACAGGCTACGGAGGAATGCTGCTTACTGGTTTGCTCCCCTGGCCCCTGCTCAGCCTGCTTTCTTGTGCAACACAGGCCCACCTGCCCATGGGTGGCACCACCCACAGTGGGCTGGGCCCTCCCACATCACTCATCAAGAAGATGCCCCTCAGACATGGCCACAGGCCAGTCCAATAGAGGGAATTTCCTGATTGAGGCTCCCTCAACCCAGGTGTGTCAAGTTGACACTAAAGCTATCCAGCACAATTGACCCCTTGTCAACTTGACACACAAACATCACTATTAAACCATAACTTTCCAATTTCTGTTCCCAAGATATGATGTTAATATCACAACATAAGACAGTAAAATCTTAAAAACCCCCACAGTCCTTAAAAAATCCAAGCACTTAAAAGTTCATAGTCTCTTTTAAAAGTCTCTTAATGGTGGGCTTTTGTAAAATCCAAAACAAGTACTGTCTTATTTCAAAGGGAAGAATCGTGCACACCTAAGCAAAACCAAAGTCCAGCAAAGTAGCTCAAGGCTGGACATCTGGGATTCACTCACGATCTTCTGGGCTCCAAAGGGTTCTGGCAGCTCCACTTCTCTGACTCTGCCATCCGCAGCACAAAAACCTCGTCTCGCAGACGCAGGCCAGCTCCACTCTACACCTACTGAGGTCCTTGGTAGTCATCCCATGGTCCTGGCATCTCCAAAAAGCTGGGGTCTCTACTGAAACTGAGGCTACACCTTCACCAATGGCTTTTTAGCTACACTTTTCACCTATGGCCTTTCCTGGCCTCTCAGAGTGCCAAGCCTCAGCTGCTCTCTGTGACCCCTTCACGCTTTCAACACCAGAACCATGCAGGAGACTCTTACACATTACCAAGTCCTGCTTCCAGCTTGAGATAGAGGCTCGGATCCCCTCTGTGTGCTGACCCTGAGGAAATACCTGCCAGAAGATTCCACCACAGTGATGCTGGTCTCTTGTTACTTACAGCTGATTTTTCAGCCCCAGTTAACCAGCATCAGTTGTCCCAGTAAAGCAAAGGTTTTACTTCAGGTTCTGGTCTCTTCTTAATCACAGCTGATTCTTCAGCCCCAGCTGACCAGAGCCCACAGATTTTCAATCTAAAATCTCACATGAACAGCCCTGATGGTCTCTGCTTCCTTTTGAAGCCAGGCCTCCATTGTCTACAACTCTTTCAGCATAACTGTTCCAAGTTCCACAGCAACAAACTCTGAGCATGCAGTGGCTTTTCCAGCCCAAAGTTCCAAACACTTCCACAGTCCTCCCCAAAACACCAAGGTCAGTTTTGTCATGGCAATACCCCATTTCTTGGTACCAATTTCAGCCCTAGTTTGCTCTTCATTGCTGTGACAAAATACTCTGACCACTACCAACTTGGGGAGGAAAGCGTTTATTTAGCTTACATATCCCAGGTCACAGTTCATCCGGGAGCCCAAGGCAGGAACTCAGGGCAGGAACCTGGAGGCAGGAGCTGGAGCACAGGCTATGGAGGAATGTTGCTTACTGGCTTGCTCCCCTGGCCCCTGCTCAGCCTGCCTTCTTATGCAACACAGGCCCACCTGCCCAGGGGTGGCACCACCCACAGTGGGCTGGGTCCTCCCACATCACTCATCAACAAGATGCCCTTCAGACATGACTACAGGCCAGTCCAATAGAGGAAATTCCCCAACTGAGGCTCCCTCAACCCAGGTGTGTCAAGTTGACACTAAAGCTATCCAGCACACCTTCCTAACCTTGAGAGGTTGAGGCTGTGTGATGATTGTGAGAACTAGGAATTCAGCTACTGGAGGTGGCAAGTGGAGGTGACCTGAGAAACTGCTCTATTTTGATGTGGAAGCCTCAGGTCCTGCCCCTGGCTGCACCATTCTTTCTGGCCTAACTGGGATCCTTGGGATCTCACCATAATAAAGTCTACACTTTCTTCAGCGGGAGACATGCAAGTTGAAGTGGTCCTGTTGCAGGACCCTGGTGTTACTCAAAGTCCTGTGGTTGTGGTAGGCATCTAGCCCCATTTTGACTATCCCCAAATTTGGCACCCTGACTTAACTACTTGAAATTTGAGGTTTGAGTAACATGTCCATCTACTCTCTAGGGGGGACTTTCCTTTGCTTGTTCATCAAAGAAATATGAAGGGTGTAGTTTACAATGATGTGGTAAATTGAATTTTCCAGTTCTCAAATTTCCTGCAATTATCCCTTTCTGAGGACTGTGATCTATGAAGAAAAGAAACAAATAACTGACTGGTCCATTGACTTTAAGTCAAGAATACCAAACAAGACAATGAAGAAACAGTGGGAAATGGCGGTCTGCATACCTCTGCAGGAGCTCTCTGTCCCGGACCACAAACCATTGGGTAGACACAAGAGGATGCTGCTGCCCACGAGGTCAAATCCAGGGCGACATCGGACCCCACAGGCTGCATTGAAGTGGTTTTTGCAAGTGTTTTGGATGAAATAACCATTTTCAGGAGGCTTCAGGGCAGGGCAGTGGACAACTAACATTTACAGGAATAAAACAAAAAAGTGAAGTCAGCCTTTGTTTATAGAACATCTTTTCAGATTGTTTAAGAAGGTATGCAATATATATACTCCTTAATTCCCCACAGCTTCCCCATTTGATCTATCTGGATTTCTAAATGTGTTTGGAAGAAGAACCCTTATAGTTAACTCCTGTTAGGTATTTATTTCCAATTAAATGTAAATATAGGCTGAATATTTTTATT